AGCCACTAGATGGCGAGAACAACCACATTAATTAATGACAATTCAGAAAAATAAATAATTACTTTTTTATTACTAATTTATTTTCAAAAGAGTCACTAAAACTTGTTTTACTTTTTTAAAACAATTTCCAATTTCCTCTCAGGCATCAAATGTTTCTGTATGATAAGAGTTATACGGTAAAACGAGACGGACTCTAAAAAAAGTTTAACGGCTTTTACGATTTCTAAAACAGAAAATAATAGTGAGTATGTGCAAAATAGGCTGTCAAAAACACAAAAAATAATTGTTTTTCAAACTCTCCATTCTCAAAAGTGTTACTTTAATCAGTTTTCTGAACAAAATCTTCCTTTCAGTGTGGACAGAATCACAGGAAATACTTTGAATTGAGATGAGTCAGGTCACTGCTTTATGATAATGAGCCACCAGAAATGCTGCATCAACATATGTTCTGCGTAGATTTATACCTTTAACATAAGTTACTGACTCTAGTGAACGTGATCACTTTATTGAATTATTCCGATTGACCCAGATCCATAAAATGAACCAGATTACAATGGGACCTTGTGCTAGAGTTTGTGAACGCAGAAGTTCTTTTGTGAACAAAAAGGTCCTAAACTCATAAAAGTTAACAATAACCTTTGTGAAGTAGTAAAACGTAAACTAGCAGGTAAAATAAATGACATGTTCCATTCCCTATTATTATTGTTGATTTTTTTGTTTCAAAGGTTTGGGAGTTAATTTGTAACTGAAGCTGAGAACAACAGCACCTTTATATTGTTTATTTGGATCTAACCTTTCAAACCTATCAGGTGATTGCTCCATTATCTGTGCCTAGTTGAGAAAACGATTGGCTTGGCTTGTTTTCTCGAGATAATGCAACAGTTATTCTGCAAACACTAATGATTTACTGTTTTGCCCAGTTTCATTCAGTACTGATGTCATAACACTTGGAAATGGTCAATAGATGTGACTTTTTTTTTACCTTAAATCTGTTTGGTTGCTGACAAAGTACCTCTGTTTGTATATTTGAAATAATTTCCTGYTATAAGAATTTTCAAGCTTGATAAATCTTAATATATCAGTTTGTTGTCTCAGGAAGACTAAATCTGTTTGATTCCTATCCCCACCGTGCTTTWTAATATACTGGACCACAGGATTCTGAGATTTGAAGCTAGAAGAGAACCAACCAGCATCCTCTTAAGACGGTGCCAGTAAATGCTTCAAGTTGTGTCTTCTCCATGAAAAYAAGCAGGATGTTACCTTCGTAAAACGAAATAAAAAAATGCAAAATATTAATTTTTAAAAACATGTTTAGCTCTTTGTTTTTCTTTTGCGTTTCAAACGGCCAAGTGACACAATGATTGGGTGCAACGGGAGTAGGCGGGACTTACAGCCCCACATTGTTAGTGCACAGACTCTGATTCCAAAAATTTAACATGGCAGCTCCCATAAGCTGTCTCCTGCTGGCTTCGATTCTCAACAAGCAAAAGCAAATTCAATCCAGTATTATATAATTTGTCAACGATTCCAATGAGCCAGAGACACTTTTAAAAATCAACCCAAAATGAGTGCAATGAAAGTAAACTAYCTAACCTAATATTCCAGAACTTTAATATTTATTTGTTTGTACTCAAGGGAATAAAATTGCAAGAATCACAAAAAAGATAATATGTAGATCAAAGTTTTACTCATGTGATATATGTCTTTGCAAAAAGACCGTCCAGCAGTCTCTTCAACGCCCCAATGTGTTTTTAGTCCCGTAGGTAGTTTTGCAGTTTGTGGTCAAAATCTAAAAKTTAAAGCTGCATCCTCTGCCGTATTGCTGCACTCGTGTAACCCCCGAGCGGGTTGTCCTCCTGGGTCACRGCGTTGAGGTGATGGCCCACCCTCCTCTCTGCAGCCTTCAGCTTCTCCTGCAGCTCCCGGGCCTCCTGCTCCGCCCTGTGCGCGGCTTTACGAGCGTTTCTCAGGGACCRCTTCACCTTGCGAACGCGCTCCTTTAGCTGGCGGTTCCTTCTCTCGGCCGCGGCCAGGCGCTCCTGCAGCTTCCGGCCGCGCTCCTCCTCCTCGAACAGCGCCGATTGCACCGAGGAACACAGCAGCTGGGGGACAGTGAAGAGGGACAGCTTTAGGCAACTTGCACAAACTAATTTTATCAACTACCAGCTGGTTTCCCATAGGATGCTCCTGTATGTTTGTCTGTATAACAAACATAGACCTCACTAAAATCAGTCTCTGATAYCTGTGATGATTAGTTAGCTAGGTGAGCCCAATTAGAGGTAAAACTACAGAAGAAGGCAGTCAACCAACTGGGGAGAGTTAATAGTGTTATTATTAAATGGGTACCAGGACATACATCTATGGTAACGAGAGAGCTGACCACCTCGCAAGAGTTGTAATCAAGCCCACTTTAAAGGACCAGAGCCTGCTATAGGCATTTCAACAACAATCTGTAGGATTGCCCTACAGGCCTGGAACAGACATCAAAACTCAATCCGCTGGAGGGAGCTGACGGATTGCAGACAGGTATGAGAACTGATAAAGGGCCCAAATCCTTGGTTTGGAAGAGCCCTTCTTGCCCTGACGAGGAAAACTTCAAGTCCTTTGGTTGGAGTCCCAACTGGGCACAACTTGCTCAACCGCCATAAAATGGTGATGGGACTCCATGAAAATGGTCTGTGCCTGTGACATTGAATTAGAGACCTCTTTGCACAACTTGGGCCAATGCTTGGCCCTGAGTAGTCAAAGGGAAAGAATTCTTGGAGAACCTTTTATGGACTCCGAGAAGCTTATAACACTGAGTGTTTCTAACCTGGTGTCATTCCTTCGAGGGATGCGAAGCTTTGATTAAAACACAGTGTCTCTTTTGAGGAGAGTAATGGGCCCACTTATGAGGCCTCCGCTCACATGGGTTTCGCCCAACCCCATATACCATAACCATAACCATAGAAGAAGGATGTTCCACATTATTAAGCAGACCAACATTTTCAAGTAATATGGGAAAGAAAACCTTTGATATTTCAGGAAAACTGAAGAGTGACCATCATACTGGTGAGAGATTTGTAGTTGATCAGAACAAATATGGGTTCACTATTAAAAGGAGAGAAACTCATGGCACGGCCCCCATCCTCCCCAAACCTCAGGCCTTWTAGAGAACCTTTGGAACCTCAAGCCCAACATCTCTGATGGAGGGAGGCCTTTCTCATCCAAACATRACCCATTCTCACTCCCAACTCRTTTGACGCTTGATCAGGTTTCCTCTACATCTTATTTTGACRTGTCAGGTACCCCCTTTGCRTCAGTTATTGACGCACCAGGAATTTCCGGGTTCCCTCAGCGTCCGATTTTGACGCTGAGGGACACTTTYGACACTTYTTTWWWAAAAAGMAGTGGTTAAAAGTGARATTTAGAGAACTTAACTTCTGAAAGAATACAGAGTTAACTCAAACAGAATACAATATAAAACTGTACGTCAAAACAGATGAACAGCAACTTAAAATAGAACAATAACCTAGTGAGAAACATTATCCCTTTAGGACCTACATCAGGTTAAACATAAAAAAGGGGTTTATAGCTGAAATTTCAAAGGAAAAGACAGGGAACAGTTTTATTTTTCTTGTTGAAATTGTGTTGTGTGTGTGAACTGTTTGTAAAATTTATTTTTTATTTTTTCTAAATAATAAGCCGGCAGTTCAAAGTTATTTTATCTGCTCCCATAGCCGAACCTAGTACTGGTCTTTTTACTGTAGCCACATTAAAGGTGCTACACTTACATTCATCAGGGTTTCTCTAAATCACTGATTAAATAAATTAGAAACCGTATCAACTAGTTAAACTGCAGCGTTTTTTGTTTTTCCTGTGGGAGTTTTATTTGGTTTCTGTGTGCACAGGAAGGACGATTTAAAAAAAAAAGATCACTATCACGCATGTAAACAAAAACATTCTTAGAAATCTATGTTTTGTTGACATACTTAGAAGTGATTGTATTCTGAAMTATAAACTCAATCAGTTTCTGAGCTGACCTGGCTCAGAGCGTCAGTTGGTCTGACTGCCACTGATAAGATGAGGCTTTGAGCAAAAGTTAATTGAAGGTTTGGAAGAAAAGTGGAGATGAGAGGAAGTCTCATCTGCTGCAGCATCTGTTTCCCACGGAGCTGAAACCAGAAGCAAACCCCCATCCCAGCTCCAATTTTAAGGGGTGTTTGGTGTGTAATTATAGCTGCTGGATATCCTAAAACATCAAAGCACCAAGGAAGCGATGCAAACAGAATAACAATAACTCAAGATASAGAAATAAGGGCTTGGATCTTTTAGTTGTAATAAAGCACAGAATGARAAATAATTGTCTCCTTTCATCTTCYTCTTTCCCTAAAATTACAAAAAAGTAAAACACCTGATTTGTCTTGTTTTGCCGGAAGSTTGGAGCCTTGACATGTGAATGCTGGTCCTAATAATTGAAATCACCTTTAACCCCTTTCTGACWGACCTCTCATCTCAAATAAGTCACCATATTACTGAACCTTTACAACACTTAGAGGAGCAATTTAAAAAAAAAAAGTACAACAAAACCCTTTTTTAAACCAWTTGGTCCCAGTTTGTATGTATGAAATTTTAGGAAACAAAAAGGTACAAAAACAAAAAGACATGGACTAGTTGATGAAAGCTGAAGAATGAACGAACGAACGAACGATCGAATGATGCTTTATAGATCCCATGAAGGGAAATTACAGGAAAACCCTGAAAAAA